GCAAGCAAGCAAGCAAGCAAGCAAGCAAGCAAGCAAGCAAGCAAGCAAGCAAGCAAGCAAGCAAGCAAGCAAGCAAGCAAGCAAGCAAGCAAGCAAGCAAGCAAGCAAGCAAGCAAGCAAGCAAGCAAGCAACCAAGCAACCAAGCAACCAAGCAACCAAGCAACCAAGCAACCAAGCAACCAAGCAACCAAGCAACCAACCAAGCAACCAAACCAAGCAAGCAACCAAGCAACCAAGCAACCAAGCAACCAGCAACCGAGCAACCGAGCAACCGAGCAAGCAACCGAGCAACCGAGCAACCGAGCAACCGAGCAACCGAGCAAGCGAGCAGCCGAGCAAGCGAGCAACCGAGCAAGCAAGCAACCGAGCAAGCAAGTAGCCGAGCAAGCAAGCAACCAAGCAAGCAAGCAACCGAGCAAGCAAGCAACCGAGCTAGCAAGCAGCCGAGCAAGCACGCAACCGAGCAAGCAAGCAACCGAGCAACCGAGCAAGCAAGCAACCGAGCAAGCAAGCAACCGAGCAAGCAAGCAACCGAGCAAGCAAGCAAGCAAGCAAGCAAGCAAGCAAGCAAGCAAGCAAGCAAGCAAGCAAGCAAGCAAGCAAGCAAGCAAGCAAGCAAGCAAGCAAGCAAGCAAGCAACCAAGCAACCAAGCGACCAAGCGACCAAGCGACCAAGCAACCAAGCTACCAAGCGACCAAGCGACCAAGCAACCAAGCAAATAAGCAATTACGGAACCAAGCAACCAAGCAACCAAGCAACCAAGCGACCAAGCGACCAAGCGAGCAAGCAACCAAGCAACCAAGCAACCAATCAACCAAGAAACCAAGAAACCAAGCAACCAAGCAACCAAGCAACCAAGCAACCGAGCAACCGAGCAACCGAGCAACCGAGCAAACGAGCAACCGAGCAACCGAGCAAATAAGCAATTACGCAACCAAGCAACCAAGCAACCAAGCAACCAAGCGACCAAGCGACCAAGCGAGCAAGCATCCAAACCAATCAACCAAGAAACCAAGCAACCAAGCAACCAAGCAACCAAGCAACCGAGCAACCGAGCAACCGAGCAACCGAGCAAACGAGCAACCGAGCAACCGAGCAAATAAGAGCAACCGAGCAAGCGAGCAACCGAGCAAGCGAGCGAGCATGCAAGCGAGCAACCGAGCAACCGAGTAACCGAGCAACCGAGCAACCGAGCAACCGAGCAACCGAGCAACCGAGCAACGGAGCAACCGAGCAGCCGAGCAAGCAACCGAGCAAGCAAGCAACCGAGCAAGCAAGCAACCGAGCAAGCAAGCAACCAAGCAACCAAGCAACCAAGCAAGCGAGCAACCAAGCAAGCGAGCAAGCGAGCAACCGAGCAATTGAGCAACCGAGCAACCGAGCAACCGAGCAACCGAGCAACCGAGCAAGCGAGCAACCGAGCAAGCGAGCGAGCATGCAAGCGAGCAACCGAGCAACCGAGTAACCGAGCAACCGAGCAACCGAGCAACCGAGCAACCGAGCAACCGAGCAACGGAGCAACCGAGCAGCCGAGCAAGCAACCGAGCAAGCAAGCAACCGAGCAAGCAAGCAACCGAGCAAGCAAGCAACCAAGCAACCAAGCAACCAAGCAAGCGAGCAACCAAGCAAGCGAGCAACCGAGCGAGCGAGCAAGCGAGCAACCGAGCAATTGAGCAACCGAGCAACCGAGCAACCGAGCAACCGAGCAACCGAGCAAGCGAGCAACCGAGCAAGCAAGCAACCGAGCAAGCAAGTAACCGAGCAAGCAAGCAACCAGCAAGCAAGTAACCGAGCAAGCAAGCAACCAGCAAGCAAGCAAGCAAGCAACCAAGCAACCAAGCAAAATGATTTGTCTTGAAGCCCTTTTAGAAGAATCCATGGCTGCCCCAAACGTGTAGGATCCCTTTCGGAGGCATGATCCCTATTGTTACTCTTTTCCGCGCAACGGTGGCCAAAGGAGGAACCCGAAAGGACAACGGGTTTGTTGGGTCGGCGGAGTGGTTCTGTTTTTTCCGGTTGGAGAGATTGGATGATGTTACCCTTGTTGAAGACCAAGAAACAAGGAGCAATCAGAAGCACACGCACACACAGTTGAGGCCGTTGTTTGGCACTTTTGACCCTCCTCTTGAAGGCAGTCCGCAATATTCACTGTGTGTGTGTGTGTGTGTCTGTGTGTGTTTGTGTGTGTGTGCGTTCCCCAGCAAGGAATCAAGTACCAGACAGAGAATTTGACATGAAACATGGCATATTTTGCAGAATCGCCATGGCATGCATTCCGATTCCTGAGCTGGAGAGTGGCCGTGACCGTTCTAGTTTTTCGTTGGAATAGACAAATTTGTCCTTTCGAAACGTGGAAAGCATGACACCAAAACTCGGGGGCCGAGCTGATTGGCATCAAATTTCATGGGGTTGCAGGGTCTTTCTTAACAAGACATCCTCAAAATGATCCTTTGCATAGTGACTCGGCAGTTGGTGCCCTCTCCAGCTTGGTTGAAAGGGAATCCAACGGGACAACCATGATTTGGAGGGGGCCTTCATGTCGACACATGCCCACCTGATGGACACCTATGGGAGGTATCCCTCCTGCATTCACATGAATCCGCACAAAACAATCCGTTTTTGGAAGAGTCTCCTTTGTTGTGGGCCTTGTTTTGGATTCTGTATTGATCCACAATTTGTGGAGGGGTGTGAAATTGGGGGCTTGGTTTTTCTGTTCACCTTCACAAAGCCACACACCCATGATAAACCTACCCCCTTCCACGCCAAACAACTACACATCCAGATGTGATTTGTGGGGAATCCGTTGTTGGTCAGCTTAAACACGGAAACCAAAAGGAAACGCACCGTCAGGTGATGCCAGAAGAGAGCAAGGTGCCCTTGCTCGCGTACGCCTCCCCAGTGTATCACAGACAGAGCAGCACTCTCGGGGCGCACATCCCTCGCACCTGGGCGGAGCGAGGCCCCTTGAAGTGGCCCCGCATTTTGAGTTCTCAAGAATTAGAGGGTGAGCTGGAGGCTGTACTGCAGTGCTTGTCTTCGCAAGATCCCAGTAGTCTCTGGTCCATTTGGGAGGGAGGCGGGGACTCTCTAAGTTTCCACAAAAAGGACTCTATAGTCGTCTATAGTTTCCCCATGTCCATAGAGTACATATGGCATGGGAAAAATAATAAAACCATGCTCTTCCTCCAAACAATCAGCTTCCTTTTGGGCCGCTTTGTAGGAACCATTCCAAAAAGGGTCCAACTCAGTTTGACACATCCCCAAATGTTCCAATGCGCTTTTCGGTGTAACTTGGACAATTCGATGGACTTCCCTTCATTCACTTTTGAGCTCGCCACAGGTATACATCGCTTTCGCCCAGAAGGGGACTTGACATTTTTTTGATTTGGTTTCAACTGTAAACCCAAATAAACACCCAATACATTAAACTCTAGACGATTCTCCAAACACATATGTATAACATAATATCAGGGGCAGAAAATCATTAGCACTAGCGGGTGCCAGCCGAAGCAAAGGGTTCAAATTTCGGTCGCAGCCTATTTTTTGCAGCCTGCTGCGGAGACTTATTTTCCCTGCCTTGTTGACACGCATTTGTACCACGCTCAACACACTTATACCTGAGCTTGTCTCAAAGCAGTCTGCTCCGAGAGCTTGTTGGGCAACGTTTACATGCCAACAGGAGCAATATTCAAGTCTCAAGGGTCCCCCAAACCCGTGCTTCGTTGTGTTTTGCAGTCTGCCGACACCTGTTTGTTATCCTTGTTGGCTTCCTCGTCAGCTCTCCCAACATGCTGAAAGAAGGCTTGTTCCAAACCACTATGCCAAGGCAAATCATTTTGCTCTGCAACGTTGCAACATTCGCACTACAACCCTGACAGGCTGAGCATCAAGTCACAAGAGTTCTCCGTGTTTTGCTGATTTTTGGATGGTTTTAAAGGTGCACCAAAAGGACCGCACTTGGATATCTACACGCCCCACCTTTTTGTGTGGGTTCGGTTCACCGGTTCACGGGTTCGCCGGTTCGGCTTGAGGCATGAACACCGCGGAGATCCTGGCCTCCCCGAAGCTGCAGATGTCCCCCGGGGCCGGGCTGCGCCTGCGCGCCGGCTTCGAGCTGTAGTTCGGGCCGTTTCGGATCCGAGAGCGCGACGAGCCTCATAGCTCTGAGGCGCGAGCACATCTTTATTCTAGGCTTCTAGGTATGTATGGTGCCCACCAAGACCTAACTTGGAATTAACCAATACATCCACGAAGCAATGTGAATGTATGTCGCAAATGGAGGGGACGTCTCGCTTCCACATTTTGTCCTTCAAGACCTTGCCCAACAGTGTCCTTAGTTTCACTGGGAAAAGGACGAGGATCTTTCCACCTTTCAGAGAAATCAAGTTGCGGGCTCGGACTGTGAGTCGGAGCTCTGGCACAGAGCTTCTCAAAATGGTGGAGACCTTTTTTGTGTTTTGTTTGGGGGGGGGGAATGAAAAGGAAACCAAACATAGTAGGGGATCCCTGTGTTGAGAACCCCCCGCATTAGTAATGGGCACATCTCACCTGCGGCGTTAGCCCCAGTGTATCGATTTGCGGACATCCAGTGGCGAGAAACAAGAGGCTCGCGCTTGCTGCCTGAGTCACAATCAAGACCTATGTAAGTGAAGGGCAGTAGGGGACAGTCCCAGCTATAAATTGGTGCGGCCGCCTTCTCTCCTTTTTTCCTGTTTTTTCTCCATAGTTTTGGGTAGACCACTTTCAGACCGGGTTTTGATTATGACTCACCTGGCAACTTGCCTGCCTTGGGAAGCGACCTTGGCAGCACTTTTAAGCGTGCCTGGATTGAGATGCATGGGTGGGAGGTGATTACCACAGCTACACATAGGTGTTTCTAACCATGGGCATCGGGTTGGTTCCTTCGGTTACTCGTGAAATGCTGTATAACCAGGGGTCTATTTCCATCTCCAATGCGTCAAACTGAGCAACCCCTTCAGCAAGATAGGAGCTGCCCAGGTGAAGAGTGGCATGGGCATCATCTTATGCAACTTGGCCGCATGCCATGCGTCGTTCTCAGGGTTAAGCTGGAGTGCGTGCAATGAGGGACTCTTTTAGGGCCCTCTGGGAACCCCGGCAAAGTCTGCAGATGCTGTGCGAAATAGTTGCATTGCACCAATAATGGCAGGAGATTGCGAGAGGGCCATTCTGCTTTGCCCGTTGCCTGTTTTGGCAGGGCTGTTGTTCGTAGGCGTATTCTCATGTTCATAACGGCCCAAAAGGCTTTGGAACTTCTCGGCCGGTCAACTCAGCAGGTCATGGCAGTGTCTTTCGTTTTGGGGGGCCTTCCTTCTTTTCAGGGGAAACGGGGAAGCCTCTGATGACTTTTGGTCCATGGAGTGGGCTGCCGGTTTCGAAGGTATGCTCGGAGTCCAGCTCGTCCTGGCGAACATCCTGGTGGTGCAGCCGCTGGTGCAGCTCGGAAAGGAGAACCTGGCCCGGCCAAAGCTTAAGGAAACAGGACACCAGGGATCCATTTGCCACGACCATATCCAAGCTTTCAGGGGCGGCCGCCTCTGACCGAATCGGTTTTCAATCATTTCAAGTGAAGGACCCCGAAGGCGATCATCTTTCACGCGACCAATTCGGGTTTGTCTCAAAATTGGGGATCCCCCGAAATGGGCGGCTTCCTATATCCATGGCAAAAGGCTTTCTTAAAAGTAACCCACAACCCCACCGTTGACATGAACAGTGCGATTGACCTAGGACATGCCTGCTGATGATGATCGTGATTCTGGCCAGGGCCTTGTGCAGAAATGTCTCGCATGGACGTGACTGACTCGCGATCCTTCTAGATTCCAGAAGGTTGGTGACTGACTCAAAAAGGCTTGGCTTTCTTTCGAAACTCTCTCCAACTCAGAAACCAGTTTTTTTATGCATGGCCATCTGCTTCTTGGACCAACTCGTTCTGACACATAGCCATGTGCTTGTCGGCATTCGGACATGCTGCCGCCCTCCCCATCTTTCCAAGGTGTGCATTGTGCTCTCCATCCTTCGCGGGGTCACTCCACAGTCCCACTGTGCTGAAGCAGCGCTTGAATCGTAGAATGCTGAGGGCTTCCGCGTGTAAATCGCGCAGGGCCATAGGTATTCCAGAAGCTGAAGAATTATGGGGGCAACCTTGCTTTCTTTTGTTTAGAAGTTCCATCTTGAAAGCAGAGATGGCCGTTTGCCTTTGAGGCTTGGCTGTTGATGTCTCACCTACACAATGAGCAGTTGTTTGATGTTCAAGATACGTGTTAAGATGCGCCAAGTCCACAGACACAGCTTGTGATGGTGCACGAATGGAGCAAAGAGCCGCTGAACTCTGATGCCACATGCAAGTGTGACGGTGAGGTCCTGGTAGAGCAACCAACCACAATTTGCAGGACCTAGTATGAGAAGGGGGTCTGTTCTCCACAATTCTTTGGAGCAAGAAGTCAAAGACAGCATACATATTGCAAACCACAAAGTCTGGTTTTGGTAAAGGACGTCCTTTTGCTTGGGAAACAACCTTGGATTTGCGTTTGACTGTCAAAATCGCAAGAGTGTGCTTGTCTGAGCTCGCGAAACGGACTTGCTTTGCAAACTCGCTTTGCCCGCAGATATCAAAGGTGTAGTTGTCCGAGTTGTGAATGAGCAACCGAGAGGGTCCAGCAGTCCCGCAAGCGCAACACCATGTGCCCGAGGAAAGGCGGCCCGGCTTGAGGCTTTGGTTGGGACCATCCCCAATAAACGCGTACTCTTGTTTGGTTCAAAGGTCAAAGGTCAAGGATTTGCGCTCAACCTACAAGCTAGTCACACCGCTTGCTCAACACTCAGCACCGGCAGATGTGCCTTTCTGCAAACGGGGGTTGGGGGGGGGGTTGAGCAACCCAATTTTGGAGTAGCCACTCGCCCCCGATATCGATGTGGCGATGTCCGACGGCGAAGCCGACATCGCAGACGTCGAGCCCGAAGTGGACGCGCGCAGCGAGGTGCGGGAGCAGAGCGACGCCTCGCGCGTAGCGGACCTGCGGCGGAACTCCACAATCACCAGCTGCCGACCGGAAGGAGCCTGACTTGGAAAGAGATGGTCTCTGTGCAAACAACTCTATTGCAGAGAGCTAAGTGCTAACCATGTTTGAGTCTTCGCTGGTGTGTCGCTACCCCTGCCTCAAATTGAGCACTTTTTGACATAGGAGTTGTCCGACAGCGTACTTTGGCGGCGGTTTCTCTACATGAGAGCGTCCCTCCGAACCGATGGGGCGTTACCTACAATGACATCACTTTCCTAAAGGCGGAGGTGGCTCGGTTCACCTGGAAGTTTTTGCCTAATGCTGCGGCTTCTGGAACACAGCTGTTTGCGGCTTCGGCAACTCACTAAACTACCCAGAAAGCACTAATTAGCCCAATTATCCAATGCCCTCTTTGGGGAGCAAGTCATGTTGACCGTGGCTCACGTGAGCCGAGGTGAAAGCGCGCATAAAAAGAGGCAGTCTTGGGCCAGTGCGGCCCGATGAGATGAAGTTTGGGCCCAGTATTTACATGGTCAACGACCAGTACATCAAGCCCATAACCTTCGAGGCCGGACTCCGATGCGGTTCCACCGAGTGAAACGGTTCCACCGAGTGAGAAAAGCCAACGATGTAGGTCCTTTTCATGGGGATCCAATGTTTTTTGTGAACCTCTCAGATTCATGAAGCTGGTGGATCAGGGCGGAGACTGCCTGCCCCAAAGTGATCTGATCGGATCCTCTCTGAAATGGCAGGCCTATCAACCATGGGTTTCTTGGGATCCCATCAAAGGATCAAACTCATAGACCTGGTGCCCTGCTGCCCTTTTGTCTCCTTTGTAGGGCATCTTCTCATGCCGAGGCTGGGAAGATGAGTTGGGCGCTGATGCGGAACCCCACAGGCCTTGACAGCGACCTCTTCATCAGTCACGCCTGGGAGGACGGGAGAAAATGGGGTGTCGCAGAAGTGAGCAGCGTCCAAGCAATCCACTTGCATTGGTTGGAATTGCCGGACCCGGTCAATCAACCTGGCAAAACAGCAGAGAGGTGTTTTTCTCCGGGCTGGCCACTTTGGTTGTGGGGCTTTGCCACAAAAAGGCAGGATGTTCAGCTGAGATGGGTGAGAGGAGTCGTTCCTATCAGACCAACACAGAAGGTAGAACATTGGTTGGGCTTCTGTGGTTTCACTTAGAGTTGGTCTAAGGTTGCATTACCTGCAGATTTGTTGTTGGACAGTGCTGAAAGGGTGCGAAGAGAGGGCACATCCACGTGGCTCTGAATCTTAAGAGGGAACACCCTCAAACATGGTTGATGGCCAGAATCCCCCATATGGATGACCAAAAGCAAGCCGGCCATCAGGCATTTTGAGACAAACCCATTTGGGGCCAGAGCCACTTCTTTGACCATTCTATTGGGTTCTACCTGGGCTCAGTGTAACTTGTCAAACCGCCGAACCTCGGCACATGGTTTTGATTGTGTGGTTTACTCCCACTGGCAGCATGGGCGTTTCACTCTCGGCCCAAAAGGTTTGGGAGGAGACCAGTGCGAAGGGGGTTACATCTGGGTGTTTGGCGCAGGGTCTTTCTGCTTCCTTTGTGGGTGAGGAAAACAAGGGGTTTTGGCAAGGAGCATAGGGATCTGCGACAATGAAACCACAAGAGACGACTGAGAACCAGAAAGTCTATCAAACTCTCGAAAGCTCAGTGGGTGCATTCCACACAGGGACTCCAATTCTCCCTTGGATTCCCTTCCCAAATTCCAAACCCCGCGTCGGGTCGGAGGTTCGTTCCGCCTGGCCGGAGGAGGGGCTGTTCGAGTTCGTGGAGAAGGTGCAGAGCTCCTGGCCCCGGAAGGCCCGGCACGCTTGGTGCTGCATGCTGGCGAACCCCCAGCATCTCAACATCGAGAGGAGCTTCGGGGGCTTCGGGGGTTTTTGTTTTTTTTCCCGGGGGAGAAACGTGGCCCGGAGGAATCCGGAGGACCAAAGAAAAAGGCGGATGGGTGACTTCATAGATTCATAGGTTGCAAGGGGTTGGCACCCCCAGCCCCGAGCATTGCGGATCGGAAGTTCGTCTTGCAGGGACCCCTCTCTCGTCATGTTCTGTGTTGGTACCTGGGATGGCCTGTCACAAGCAGTTGTTTTCTTTGTCAAACAAGAAAGCCAACTTGATGACCGCCATTCATTGGGGGGTCGTTTCCTGACTCATTGGACCCATGACAAGTCCCATGACGGAGTTGGACCACCAGGAAAGGGATTTACACATCTTGCCTTTGGGTATCGGGGGCGCCAAGCTCTGGGTTGCGATGACTTCAGGAGATAACATGAGGGCAATGCGACATCCCCTTCTGGCCAGATGTGGTTTTCTAGCTGGAGGCGGCAAGAGCTGTTTGACATCTACACCATTTGGCTGATAATTTCTCCTCCGCGCCAACTGCACTGTGTAATCCATTGTGGCCATTTTCAGCGACACCCTCGTCTATTCTGATCAAGTTGTCGTCGGGCCGGAACCTCCTCTTTGGATGATCCCTCCTTTATGGATAGCTTTTCCTCCCCCTTTGTGTCTGGATAAGCCTTCCTTGTCTAAGCCTTTGCTTTTGGCTGTCTTGGACAAGCAATTCTTTTGCTTTGGATACCAACACGGAACCTGACCGGGTCCTGGCTTGGACCATCTTCCTTCAACGTGGACGAGAGGGCAGAGCTTCCTCACAGCCAGACGAGCAATGGAATTGGCCCGCCCAAACATGAGGGTCTTTGTGATTGCTTCTGTCAAGCAGGAGAGGAAGCCTTCCTTAAGCCTTGGGATATCTAGAAAAGTCCTCAGTTTGGAAGGCTTATCCGAACAAGTTCTTGGGTACGGTGTCCTTTGCCATTTTGCGAGGATGCTGGAGACCCCGCAGGGCTCGCCCTTTGCGGTGGCACTGGAAAGTGCCACCTACGTCCTGGTGGTGCCCAACCGCCAGCGGAGCATCTACACCAGGCGCGTGGGCCTGGCAGGGGTCCGGAAGTTGGTCTCTATTGGGAACAAGCTGTTTTTTAGTTCTCCAGCTGAAAGCTATAGGCTTTCTCACTTCAAGCAAAGAAGGCAGGGTGCTGTTGGCCGCTGGTGAGCTTGGGCAACGGAGCTTTTTGCTTGAAGTCAGATTAGATGTTGTTTCTTTGGAATCTCATTTTGGACTCTCCACAAAGCAAGTGAGCGAGCAACTAGGGATTCTGAACAAAAGACACTCGGTTCCATCTGGCTCCTTTGTCGAATTCACACCTTCTGAATTGACTTGGGGGCCTGGTGTCTTTGTTTGGATTCTCGCCTGGGGCCTGGAAACAAGGCTTGGTTTCTTGAACAGAAAAACACCATCTCTTGAGGAAGCCGTGTTTCCGGGCCGGGCGAGAATCCAAACAAACAGACACTCAAGCCTTGTTGCCGGTCTCAGCCAACAACAAAAAAGACAAGGTCGAGCCCTGGTTCCGGCCGTTGTCAATTCAATATGGGAATTCTGAAAGAAAACAATGGAGCCGTGAGCTTGCCGTGGGAGGCAGGGACTTGCAGGGAGCCATTTGGGTGAGGGGGGGTGGGGGGGGGGTTGGTGAGCTTGACGTGATGCAAGGACTTGTTGATGCAACTTTCTCCCTCAAGTTGCTTGCTTGTTCTTCCTAAGGGGGGGTTCACGGCCTGATGAACCCCTTACTAAGACCTTGTTAAGGGATTATCCTAGGCTAGGTTTATGTTGGGCTTATCTTGGCAAAGGGTCCCTCCATTCCCCAGTGCCCCATGACACTCGCAAGATGTCAGGCTTTGGTGCGGCTATGAGGCATACTTGGCGCACAACGACAACAAGATCATCCTCATTGCCCACAGCTCAAATCGATTGAGCATGACTCGGGTGCTGTGCGTGATGAGCGCTTGTGGCGCGCTGGGCATGTGCTTGGGCGGTTTGATCATGAAAGCGTCGCCGAACCACCCCAAGCTGAAGATGGAGATGAGGCGCGGGCATGCGATCGAGGTCTGAACCTTGCTCCCTGACAAAAGCCATCCGTTGGGGATCCCAAGCGGGTCATTCAAAACCATGGGAGGGTACGGGTAGCGTGGATGCAGCTGTTGCAAGAGAAGCCATGTGTTTGGCCCGTGTGGTCATCTTATCGTCGGAATCGGCCGTAGATGAAGGGGGGGCCCAACAATTGGACACCCTGCAGTTTCTTCAATCTCTTCATGGGTTTCGCCGTCCTTGCCGGGGCTTTGAGCCTAATGTGCCGTAACCACTGGGTACGCCTCGTTGCCAATGGTCTTGGGGTTGCCAGCAGTACCTGCGCCTTGACAAGCGCCAACGCCATCGAATGGCCTGAGCACTTTGTGTCCTCCATCGGTGAAGAGGGCAAGCTCGTGTTCTGGTCTGGGCTGGTTCTCTTCTTTATCCTGATGGAAGTTGACCGAGTGAACAGCGCAACCATTAGGTGCGCGGGAACGGAACTCATGAGGCATTACGAGGGCTCGATTACCCACGCGAAATGCTCGCTGGCGAGAGATGAGGATCGTATACGCAGCCAGATCAACAGTCATATATCTGAAGTAGATGCTGCCATTAGCGTGCTGACAGAGGCAGGGATGTCAACCCATGCTTTGAGGCAAGCTGATGCGAAAGGAGCCGACATCGAGGATCTCGCACATTCGCAGATCGCCGTGCCCGTGACGATCTTGGGATCGATGGGTGTGCTGTCGGGCCTACGTCTGCGGACAGAACTGGCCCAGCACAAGAATATTGAAATGTGCGTGATCAACGGGCTGGCTCTTGCTGCTCGACTACTGATCATGCTCCAGTTTTGCAGGAGCAATGTGGATGACAGATGCTTTATGTTGAAGATCATTTCCAAGTTGATGTTGCTGGTTGTCTTGTGGCTTGGAGTGTGCGTCATCCTTGGCTTTGCGTCCATCGTTCCCAACAGTGCCATTGGCGACTACTTCCAGTACGTGTATGACGGCAGCATTCTGCTTATGGCAGTGTTTTCTCTACTGGGCATACAAGGCAGGGTGGCTGGAATTTGCCAGAGGTGGCGATGGGGGCCTTTGTTTTGAAAGTTGGCTTCATGTGGATGTGGGGAAAGGGGATGAATGACGAATGACGTTTTACCAGGTCCAGTAAAGTAACCATTTCAAGGCTTCTCAAAATTAGCATTTTTGTTTCCTTCTTCGGACCACGATTTAGAGGGGGACTAAGCACGTCACTTTCATGCATCGAGTTTTAGTACAAAGTTGAGCTTGAAGTGAATGAGCCTTGCACTTGGCTTCCTCTGGCTCGACAGGCTTTTCACATGTGAAACGGGTTCCTTTTGGGAGTATTTTGGGACCGGGCCAAGGACATACCTCCCCGCGAATGGACAGGAGCTACACATGAAGAAATGAGGGTTACCCACCAAAATCCAATGTTGGCGAACGCAGACACATATTGATCGTGGCTCACATGCAATCGCCGCAGCACAGAAGGAGTCCAAAAGGAGATTCCTCTACACGTGACGGTTTTCGGGGCTCCGTGTTTCTCGGGCTGCTCAAGCAAAGTTGGGCAACATTTGTTGAAAAAGCCATGGCCCCTTTCAAAGGGCAACTAAAAGCAGGCGGTTAGAAGAATAGTGATCTGAGCAATGGTTTACCAAGCCTGGCAAGGCACCACAGACCTGCCTGGTGGCATTTTCCTCCTGCGGCTGCTGCTTGCCCGCGGCTGCCTTCCTTCGCGGCGCCGCTACGCCCCCGCTGAGACCGAGTCAGAGAGCTCAGAGAGCTCTGATGTGGAATGTACCACCTCACCGGCGCGCCGGACGCCACTGTAAAGCATCGGGGTCCACGAAAAAGTTGCGTATTTCGAGTGACTCGTTCTCTCAATTTTAGTGTGTTGTTCTTGTTTTGGACCCGTTGGTTTCCGTTGAGCGCAATTGAGGGAGCAATTTTGAGGATGCCGCTTTTCAATGGATGTGTTTGCCCCCCACATTGCCATGGCATCTGGCAAGGCCCAGACTGATGTGCCAGGAGCCTTCAAGGTGCTATGTAAGTGGAGGACGGGTAGGCGTCCTTTTGGGTCAGCTTGGTTGAACAGAATTTCGCTTGTTTCAATTTCCCAAAAGGACACCTAGTGCCTAGACTGTAAAGTGTACAAAAGCCGCGAGATCTGCGGCTGGAAAGAATGCCCTCAGAAGCAAGGGCTCCGCTTGCTGGGCTTGAAATTTGTTTGAAATGTCTGACGTGACTCAGGCACTTGTTGTCGCAATGCAGATCGGCGACGCGAGGTTTAGTTGATGATTCCCACCTGCCGCCTGCAAGTGTACTGTATGTGTGAAGGTATGCTCCCGATATGACAAGGGATCAACATTTCATCAACCAAGGCCACAGGGCAACATGGGACAAGAGACTCCAGTGAAAGCAGACGTGCGTTGTGCGTTTGCTTTGACGAGCTGCTGTTTTTCACCGCGCCGCAATGGACACTGGTGATAGGGCGCGTGTGCTGCTTGGCTGGGCTTTCAAGGGGGGTGAGAATCTGCAAGTAGAGATCTGTTACAATGCTTTTAGTGAACAGGGGATGCGGAGGATGCGAATAATGCTGGGGGTGCTAGGGATGCACGGATGTAGGCAGATACATGATGCAGGGAATGCAGGGGATGCGGAAGATGCCGATGCTGTAATGTTGGCGATGCAAAGGATGCACATTTTTTTATAAGCGGAACACCTCAGGCCACAGTATCTCTGGAGGGTCTCTTTTCCAAGAGCTCGGCCGGATTGATTCTCTCGTCGGAGTCGAATTTCAGTGCTGAGGTTGTCGATTCCAAGAAGGCTTTGGAAGGACCTGCCGTTCGTGTCCAAGGTGCCCAGACCGGCAGGTGTGCGTTTAGGTGGCTGCCACGTTGGAAACAGGAGGGTGTGCCTTTGCTGAGGCTTGGCATCCTTTTGGGCGTGGTCTTTAAGGGAAACTAAATGGAACATCGCCATTTTGGGGTCTCCATTCTCAGCCAAGACACCCCTTCTTCGCCCCCCCCCTCGAAGTGTCGGATTCCTCTTCGGATGCCCAACTTGAAATCGGTGACACGCTTTATGGGAGCCAAAGTGAAGCCACTCAAAGTGACCCCACAATTAGGAAACACCCACATGACATCGGCGCTTGAAGAAATGCATGCCGTTGGATCTCCTGTGACGGATGTCAAACATGCTTTTGGCCCTCAAAGGGACACAGTACAGTAACATAGGATACATTTGGAACGGGACATCTTCTGTTCAGCAGGAGGGGATAATTGTTGCTGTCTTGCTGTGCATCTATCATGAGTCTGTTTCAATGCCTGAAGCCTTAAGAGAAGGCGACGGGCTTGCTTACACGAAGCCCACCTGGTTGGATTCTTGCGTCTAGAGAGAGGCAGAGAGAGAGAGAGAGCGTGAGCTGTATTCATAGAATCCAACCTGGCCCCTCACCAAACGCCCCCTCGTTTCCCAAACATATAGCCTTCATGAGGCCTTGTTGAGGCCTCGTTTGTGGAAGGGGTTGGGGGTTGAATGCCATGATGTATGCACCGCCAGGTGATCTTCATCCATGGCGTTCTGGACATTTTGGTTCCAAACCCCATGACCGCTGCTCCGCTCTTCCGAATCTTCGATTTGCAGCACAGGACGCGCTCGATAGTCGGTTCGATGGTTTGTGGAATCTGCGCACAAGAATGTTGAGAGCGGATTTGTGAGATGTGCGTGAAAAAGGACAAGCAGCCCAACACCCCCCCCAAAACCAACCAACACCAACCAAAGCACAAACTTGAGAGTGCCTGTGGACCTTCTCTTGCCTGGATTGGAGCTCTGTGATACTTGTGCTTCCTTCTCCTGCCAACCTGCTCGGCAGGAGCAAGAAGAAGCGAGGATGGGCTTGGCTCTTTTTCATGTGCCTTGGGATCAAATCAGCAGGTGTGTATATATATATATATATGTGTGTGACGGACAGTCATGAGGCAACTTTCATATTCTCCGGTGGCACAACCACCTCAAATGGAAGACTTACTTGATCAATGCATGATCGCATCCTTAGCCTACCACGTCCTTTATTTTTCCCAAACACCCTTGAAACCATATAGGCTAATGACGGTCCTGCAGCTAAATGCAAAGCAACCATTTTGGGGCTTCCCGCAATTAAATGTCTTACGTGATGAATCCACGCTCCAACAAAGGCAAATCTGAACTCCAGGAGCAATGGTCTCATTGGTTTGGTGAAAGGCAGCGTTTTCAGGCTTTCTCATCAAACACCATCTAACAGGCGGTTTGACTGTTTCGCTTTGTCGGGGACTCTGAGATTTTTCTGCCAGGTACAAGGGACACTGATTTTTGAAGTTGGGTTTTTGGCCACCCCTTGACGTCGACCCTGATAAGCGCATGGTTGTGGCTAATTGGGATCTTGCCCCACTTTCTATGACACCGAGGGAACTCCCTTTAAAGTGGTAAACTAGTCAAGAACATGGCACATTTTCATATCACAGCAAGGCTTATTTCCACCATGGATAAACAAATGGAAGAACTGCGGCGCCAGGTTCGGCTGTATGAAGATACGGGGCTCTTTGTCAGATGAGCTCACTGCCGCGCACGTGGCGGGCTGGGCCTACTTTTGGCAGGCAGTGAAAGGGTGGAGTTTGAGGTTTGGCTCTGGTCATCAAAGAAAGCGTCGACCCCCAAAATGGTTTTGTTTACACGAGGGTTTCCCAAGCTTAGAGGCTTACCCCCAATTTCAGCGAGGTTTGACTTCAAACGGCGCCGTATGAGAACGCATCCGGGTGTCTTGGTGTTTTCGTTTGGGAATCGGTGGATTGTCTAAGTGGTGCAGGAGACCTGGTCGCTTGCCCCCAATTGTCCAGGCCTTGTCCATCTCAGTGGAGGGCTTCTGGCACCGCAGCATCCCGCGGGCCACAAAGGCCAGGGCGGGAGCGGCGGCGCGGCACTGGGGCGTGGCAAGGCTCGAGGATGCGGATGCCTTTCATGCCGATGCCTCGTGTCTGGGCATTCCTGGGAATGAGTTTGGGCTGAGGGATGGAGGCTGGGAGATGTGGATGGGATGCTGATCTCAGGGGCTTGGCAATGGAAGTGTAGGCGAGTGCTTGCAAAGGTCTCAAGTCACGAGGACCGTCGCATTTTTGGGCACGTTTGAGCGTCTACTCTGAAACTGATGCCCGACATGCACAAAGTGGTCGAAGGCACTGATGCTTTGGGCATCAATCCCCTGATGGCAAGACCAGGGTGTGGCCCCAGGGTTTCCAATGGATTCTTCACGGACCAGCAGAAGCTGATGGACGTTCCACATGAAATATAGCCAATATATCTATGGTACCTTGGGAGGGGCGCACTAATTTTTCCAAGTTGTGTCCAAACAAAAGGAGCCTTTCAGAAGTTTTTTCCCAAACAGCTTGGCTGATGAGGTTCTCTCTTCTGCAAAGAATTGCTCTCGGTCACGAGATGGTTTGCCCTGCAGCTGCCCATGCTGTCTCCCGCGCCCGCTTGTCTCCCCGCTTGTCTCCCCACTTAGCTCCTCACTTGTCTCCCTGCTTGCTCTAGGTGATGCTTGCTGTCTCGGACCTTGTCACAGCTTGTCTACCCACGCGTCCTTTTTTGTGGGCTTCATTCGGATGCACCAAGCATGTAAGTGTCGATGGAACCGTTGCCAGGTGCTTAGTTCCCATATCGGCTTCTGCGCAGCTTGGCTGCGGGTCTGGTCCGTTCCAGGATGGGCTGAGAAGGGCGAGCCACTTTCCCATGGGTACATTGAGAGTCTAGTGCCCCCAATTGGACCTTGCTACAGAATGGGTTCTGAGCGTCCATGGCACCAGAATCCCCGCCGCCAGATTTGTTCTTCCCAAACATGCACGGACTGCAGCTAGTGTTCCTTTGCACCTACTGGCACCCCCACGCAAACACGCCCACACACAGCCCCAAACATACGTGGAAGCCGCCAACACCACAAGGCAACTTCATTTGTGATCAACTGGCCTGATTGTAGAGTGTTGGAAGCACCCGTTTGATCGATTAAACAAGAAGGAATGTTCACTCTGCGCACCACGTTTCGATTCACAACATGCTTGCAAGGGGGCAGATGAGTGCCTGAAAGGTCACAAGGCCCCGTTCGCTGAATCATAGGATGCTGCTTTGGTGTCAAATGTTCAAGACCATGGTAGGGTGCATGGGCGCCCTTGTCATGAATGGATTCCATTGAAGCCTGATTCTCACCATTCCCAGCGGAATCCATCTATCTTCTCCAAAAAGACAATCAGGGTAGGGTGCATTTCTGTTCGGGTGGTTTGTGGAATTCTAACCGATTTCCTGTCGAGAGAGACGGCTGCAGTACAGGAAGGTGCGGTGCGAACAAACTTCTGAAACAGGGGGTCTGTTCTTCTTGAGGGTACCCCCTAAAATGGGCTTTGCAATAGGCAACCACCCACTCTGGGGTTGTAAGCTTGGGCAAAGTTAGTTCCAACAACCAAGCCACCGTGGCCTACTGCAATCAAGCAAGTGGCAATGTCCAACCCTGGGCATCCATGTCAGCGTGCCAGAAACTGGTCATGTGCCATCGGCGGGTTTATCAAGAGCAGCTGAGAGCAGCGCCCTCATCAAATGCGCACTTTACGTCTTCGTTGTTTCTACAATGCGGGCCGTGCGGAGAGCCAATAGAGAAGCAGACAAGAAAGCAAACAAACTAAGATGCAAGCAAGCCAGCAAGCCAGCAATCAAGCAAGGAAGAAGGAAGCAAGGAAGCAAGGAAGCAAGGAAGCAAGGAAGCAAGGAAGCAAGGAAGCAAGGAATCAAGGAAGCAAGGAAGCAAGGAAGCAAGGAAGCAAGGAAGCAAGCAAGCAAGCAAGCAAGCAAGCAAGGAAGAAAGGAAGCAAAAGGAAGCAGGGAAGCAAGGACAAGCAAGGAAGCGAGGAAGAAAGGAAGCAAGCAAGCAAGGAAGCAGAGCTGGGCCTCCAAACAAATCACTGACGGCCAAACTCTCGTGACAAACCTGAGTTTCCCATGCCCACGCTGGTCACCGGCCATTTGATGGTGGCTCAAAGCCAGGATGGATGAAGTTTAGCAGGGGACCTGGCATAACTAGATGTGCGGCCAGAGCTGCCCTTGTGATTCTTTACCCTCTTTCCAACAACCGCGGAAGCTAAAACAATACTACTCTTGAAATGCCGTCTGTCCAGTTCTATGTTTGTTTCATGAGCTTTGTGGGTACCCACCATGGAACCCACCGGAGGTCCCTGATTCCGGTTGCGCGTCAGTGGCTCGATGGCCTCGCCGAGGTGGCCGTGTTCGCGTACCTCCAGGTGCAGAAGTGGCGGCACGCGTCCGAGGCCGTGGCGGACGGCCAGCCTGACGGGGAGCCCGTGCTGGCGCCCAGTGCGCCGCCGAAGACGACGTGACAGTCCCAGAGGCGACCTGGGGTTGGTCTTTGTTTTTTTTTGCCGTTTTGAAGCCCTCTAACAGAAAGTGGTTCGGTTGAGGCGTCTGAAGCACGTCCTGTTCCGGTCGACGTTCTGTTTTGAAGTCACGGCCCTGAGAAAGTTATCAAGTGGGAGCCAATTGGAAAGAAACATTTGGATCCACAATCCATTTTTGTCTACGCAGTTTATGGCAAGCCAAAACATGGAAGGACCGCGCGCCCGCGCGCCAAACATTCCGAGCGGTGTCCGTCTCGAACTTCAGGCTTCTCTCGGCCACCCGGCCAAATGGCAAACCTCGGGCCTCCCACCACGAGCGTGTGAAAGGGTGAGCGAAAGCTAGCCAAAAGTTGCAACCTTAAAATGAACACCCAGAAAGTCATGATTACCTAAGGAGTCAGATTCCCTGGCCGCAAAATGCCGCAAACATGTGGACGAGATAAATCGTGGGAATGTGTTAGAATGTGCTACTAGTAGAGGTGTGGGCCAACTAGGTGGAACAGAGGTGGCAAAACAATGTCTGGTCCGAGGGGGTTCAGGGTTCCACTTTGACTAGCCCAAGATAGACAGACTTACACCCAAAAGTTCTTTTTTTGGGGAGTGAACCACCCTGAGTTTAAGTCTACCCTTACCCTGGAGTCGTCAAACAGTGGAACGGGTTTCGATTGTTGGCGCCGAAGGAAAATCCTGTGTGTAGCATCCTAGAACGCCCGCGAGGCGGATTTCCTGCCCGGCGGCCGATGGGCGGTCGCAAGTTTCAAAAAGCCGCGCGTTCACGTCGCGGTAGTCCTTTCTAATTAGGCTACCTATTGGACAAACATGTGGTCTGCCCAAAAGTGGTAGTTGTTTTTTCAGGTCGAAACTTCTCCCAAAGGGCGGGGGGGGGGGGGGAAGGCAAACCACATGTGCCTTGCGCCTGGGCGCCTGGCTTGCGAGGCCACTCGGCTTATCTAAAATAGATCAGCGTCACCTGGTTAATGGGATCGACAAGCTCAGGGTAGCTGGTAGATGAATAGAGGGGTTGTTGTTTTCAAGAAAAAAGCTGGATCACTTTTTGAGGGAGCATCCCTAAAATGGCCGCAAGGTTCTGCTTCAAGTCCAACTCACGTGGCATTGAGGCTCAAGGTCACAGAGACCCCGTCATCCAATCGGGGGGACCGAATGAGCTGTTCCATGCGACCTGGCTGACCTGGCTAGCTGCTTTGGTCGGGCGCGTGATCAGAGGAATCGGTGACATGAATTGGTATGATTTGCTTGGTCTAAAAAGCTCACCTGGGTGTAACACACGCCTCCCCTGCAGCCAGCGCGTCGGGCAACAGAGCAACAGACAAGGGGCTGAGCGCTCGAAGGATTGGTGGCCTGCCTTTCCCTTTCTCTTTGCTGAGGTCTTAAGAATCCCGGCTGCAGAGGTGCAATTCATGATGCCCCTTTTCAGCACAGCCAGGGCCTCGAAGACTCCGGCAGGTTCGCCGCGAAGACAGCCCACAAGTGACACAGTCACTTTGAAATGGGCCCCTCGAAATGCAACCTGAAGGCGCCCAGTTCGGTCTTCAAGGACATTCCGGAGAAGACATAGGTTGAAGTCTCCAAGTTGGACATAGTTCGTGTTAAGTTGGTTTAAGGCCAAGTCTATTCTAGGGTCTCCAAAACTGATACATATTTTCGGTAGACAAAAGTCTGAAGCAGAATCTGAACATCTTGTTTTTGGTGTACCAAAGAGTCTGGGGGTTTTGACCTCTCCCTCGCGAAGGCCTTGGCTGCGCTGGCACTTCTGGGCGATGCGCATCAGTCGCCAGCGCGGGTCTCGGCAATCAGCTTGCGGTTTGAGCTGCTTTGGTCGGTTTTGGTTTGATTTTTGGGTGGCCTTGGTTTGATTTGAGCAGTGTGGGTTGATTTCATCAATTTTGGCTGTTTTGATTGGTGTGAGCAGTTTGAGTTCGTTTTGGAAGTGTTGGTTTGGTTTTGGCTTTGGACACCCACATCAAGTCCCAGGATCCGGGCTGCAGACCTTGTGGATGACTTTGAGGGGCTGTTGGATGCTATCAGATGGTCGGGTTGCCATTGACTCTGTGGCTTAAGGGCACTCTCAGAAGCACAAGAAGAAGGACATGCAGCATTCGCCACAACCCAGCAAGTTAGTACCCATGGCCCCCAAGACGCCGGTCAGATGTTTTGGTGTCTGGTCCGAGAAGTCCGAGTGAATCGACCCCTTTGTTTCCTTCAAACAGACCCTGCAGTGTGAGGTTCGGCGTCATGGCAGGCCGAGAACGGAGGTGGGATCTGGGAAGTCAATCGCAACATGTCCCTATCTTTCGCTCGGCTGGACACATGGCCTTTGTTATTTCAGGTCATGTAAGGTGAAATGTAAGGAACGCTCAGGGTCAAATGCGCCGCCATTCCACAGCCATTTTTGCAGCCAATGATGACCCATGATGACCGATCTTCATTGGTCCAGATCTGGAGGATGTCAGCTAATGTTGCAAGGGTTAGGATGTACCCCTTACAACAGGGGTCCAATCCCCCAAAAAGAGATTCCCCTCTGCAAATGGGTGTTCTTTTGCATTCCTTCTGTGATTTTCAAGAGAGTGACCGGCGAAGTTTGATTGAATCACCGGTGTGAAGCGGAATTGGTCCTGCTTTTAAAGCGCACTGACCTCCACTGCTGCAGGGGGACTCCTCGTCTCTCCAGACAAGCAGCAGGCCAGTTTGCGTCGGTCTGCGCGAAATGTTGACCCCTGTCTACAAAGCCATCCAGTTGTTTATCATGGGGGTCCTCCTAGAAGCGAGTCTCCCCGAAAGATGAAAGGGGGTCATGGTTCGGGTCTGCATTTAGGCATTTCGTTTTACCCGATGACCCTGTTGCCGTTGCCAGTGCTTGACTTTTCCATCAAAAGATAGAAACTGGGAGGGAATAGTAGCCCGGGAATAATTCACCCCCTTGGTTGATTAGATCGGGTTGCGCCATTTCAGAAGGGTTCCTGAGGTGAGGGAACAGCTCCTTTTAATCTGATTGATTTCTCAATCTGGGGTGGGCATTACTGATGCAGAGATGTGCCAGGTTATTCACATCACTCACCCAGCTGTGCCCTGCCGCTCGCATGAGTGCTGATGTTAACAATTTTCAGGAGAAACAGTAGGGCCCTGCCACCCGAACGTGGCACACCAGGTTCTGAGTTCGCACAGGAGGAGTTTCCTACAGTCAGAGACAACCCTTCTGACCCTTCGGCCTCGAGGTACCCTTTCTACCATAGCTCTGAGGAGCTGCAAGCTGAGGCCGGGCCTTGCAGCGGATCGGTACCGTCGAACCCCCCATCTGGCTGACAGTGATCTGTGGCTAAAAAGCGTCGCAAAGGGCCGGGAAAATGCTGGGAGTGTCCTCACAGCCAAAGGGGGGCGGGGGTTGATTATCCATGAACAACAATTGGTTGCATGTGGGGGTGATGTTTTGTTGGGACCCTTTGGCGGACAACATTATGCTGGGAGAATCATGTCCACTTTTGAGGTGGTTCCCCGTTATTTGTCATAGCCCTGTGTCCTATATAGGATCTGCCTGTATGCCTGTCCAGGGCAAAGGCAGGCTAATTTTGCCATCGCTGGTCAGGAGCTCATGCACCACCCTTCTCAATACCTTGGTAGCATTACGCAGAACTGATGCCTTCATAGAATTCTAGAGAACGACCGATCCATTGCTATCATAGGCATCCACAAATGCGTTTCACAATGTAGCCCACCGGAGGACTCCCCTTTTTTCTGTGGAACGTCCAGAATCATCAGAATCCCAATGCTTCGAACCTCAGAACAATGACTACACCTCAAAGGTGGGCAAATTGGTCTTGGGTCCTTTCGTTTTACTTTTCCAGCCAAACTTTTACCCTTACGATAGGGTTTTGGCCCCGCGAACTGAAACCCTTGGTTGGAAGGCGAGTTTCGAGCCTGGAAGCTTTTGGGTTTCAACTTTCAGGAGTTCCAACCCCTATGGTGCAACCAAACACCCGAGTTGAGTCTACTTGGGGGGGGGATGTCCAAAGAACCAACGGTTATCCCTGAGACCCAAAACCCGCCGAAGGCGCGCTCGCGGCCAGGCGCGGCGTGTGACGGCCGGCTGCGAGGCCTCTCTGCGCAGCGTGGCGCAAGGTAACGCTGGGGCGCCCGGAGTTCAGCCGCAAAAGGCATATGGCTGCGGTTGTCAAAACCGTTTTGGTACCATTTTGGTTGGTAGGTGAATTCACCGCCCGTTTTAGAACCTATTTGGGGATTGGGATGCTCACTGTACGGGATTTTGACCCATGGCCATATGGTCAAAGCATCCCTTGATAGGGATGGCTATGAACCCCGGGGGAAATTAGAGACCATGATGCGGATTCATGGTAAGGGAGCTATGACCATGCTCCACATGAGGGGTTCGACCATGGCGCAGGTGCCCTTGCTGGTTTTAGTTGGGGATGAACATAGATGGTTTCCACTCGTCTCAGGTTGGTTTCCTTATTCATTCACCAGTGGTTTGCTCTTCAGCTGTTCTGCAAGGACACCTAGGCCGTGGAGTGCAAGTTTTCGTGTTCGGCTTCGTGTTTTGCGGGTTTCACGGTGTTTCCGTATCTTAGAAAAGTGGCTGCCTCAACTGTGATATGTTTGTACAGAGGCCGGGGGGGGGGGGTGAGGGTTCGGGGCAGAAACCGGCTACCGAGGTCTCCATCGACGTGGCGAGGGTGAAAGCGTGCACGCCTGAGCTTCCCAGCAAGATCACGCGGGCCATGTTCCGCTCTTTGCAATACTTTACTTAAAGCAATGGGTGGCAGCTTCCCAACAAAGGGGGATCTCTGGTTTTCAGGTCTATGGCGGGTAGTCAAAAGGTGGCGCACTCGTTTTGGGTGAAACCGTGTCGCGAGAGATCCCTTAGGACGCGAGAGCCGCTGAACAAGGACTGCGGCTTGTGGAGTTGTGTGGCAGCCAGAGATTTCCGGAGGTGGGTATGTCCGTTTTTCAGGCTACCCTCTTTGGGGGTGGTTTCAAAGGGGCCGAAAGGAGACCATCCATTGGTGGGTTCACCATTTTGTGACAAACTGTGTCATGAATAATAACATCCTGGTGTCCAGGGATCTACAAGGTAGATTGCAACCCAGCGGTTGATTCCCAAGGGAGCGGAACTGGGTTAAAGTCTACGTCACCCAGTTCGATTGAAAACCAAGGGAGCCACCCTTGAAACACAGCGGAGGTGTTCATCCTCTTTGGCGAGCACAGCCGCGAGCTCATTGGCCCTGAGCCTTGCTGGCCCACTTGATCGCGAGGGAGCTGAAACGAGCGTCCCCTTTCTTAGCGCAGGGGTCCTTTTATGAGCCTTTTTGGCGCGTGGGGGTAACTGTAGATCCTTTTTTGGTGCGCAGGGGTCCTTATATTTCCTTTTCTGGTGCTCAGGCAACCCGCCTGTTTGTGGTGTTAATGTTACCGGTTAAGCCACTTTTCGCAAAGTGATGTTCCTTTCGCTGGGGTGAAGTCGGATTGAAGGCTTTGTGGTTCCTTTTGCTTGACAGTGGCTTCAAAGCGATGGGCACAGCTGGTTTTTGGATCCAAATTACTCCTAGACTGTCGTTGAACCTATATCCAGAACCCCAGAAGAAAAGGGGCGCTCTGATTGAAGGCTGTGGTGGATATATGTTGGATGATATGCACGGTGCCAGGACAGGGCTGGCACTGCTCAGAGCGCTTTGTCGTCGGGGCCTCAGGAGTTGTGGGGGGTGAGGACCTATGGTGGGGGTTGCATGACTTAGGAGCAGAAGCAGTATCCTGGGTTGGTCTTGGGATGATATGCGGGCATTGCGCTCAATGGGTTGTGTGTCACTATTTTGAGTAGGCACCCAACAACCCAAAGTTGGATACAATGACATCCCTGATTTTAGCAAACCCGCGCCCCTTTTGAAGTGCAAATTCATTGATCAACCCAAGGACGCTAACGATTCGCAAAGATAAACTTCACAAGTCGCAGAGTTGTGTGCAGAGGCTGATTTTGCACAGGGATTGCATCATCGTGAATTGCATGCCGCCGCTCTCTTGCAGTGAAATATGGTGGTTGCCCCATCACGTCCTTTTGGCTTGCCATACGCGCAGAACATTCTGCAATTGAGATGTCGCAGGTGGCCACTGCATTCTCGGGAGACATCGGCGCAAAGCCGGAGGATGCGGCTTTTCTGTCGGCTGCGGCACCAGTGGGTGACTCCTTGATACTGGACCTGGGCAGTGGACGGGACGGCCAAGCTGCGCGCTTCCTGTCTCGCCGCGCTGCTGTGGTCTGCATCGATACGGACCTGGCGGCCTTGAGGTGCGCAAGAAACATCCCGGCGCAAGGTGTGCTGGCAGACATGTGCGGACTCACCTCCCTCTTCCGGCCCGGCGTTTTCGATCTGGTTTGCAGCTTCTATTCCTTGCAGCACCTTAGCAGGCCCTTGGCTTGTGTGCAGTCCTTGCCTTTGCTGGTGGCCCCAGCTGGCTGCGTCGCCATTGCCGCGCTGGCGGATGCCGGAAATTCCACTGGACGCGATGATGAGAGGAGCTCGGAGCCGCTGGCGCCGCTGGCGCCGGCGCTGCGTGGGTGCTACCAGTCCTTCCTGACGCCGGGTGCTGCCGCCAAGGCACTTGAGGCGGAAGGCTGCCGGGTGCGCGTCTGGTGGAGGACCGCGGTGTATTCGGAGGCCAACGAGTTTCCATGTGCTCGCGAGTATGCCATAGGGAAGCGGGCTGAAGAGCCTGAGCCGGACCAGCAAGCCAAGAGACAAAGCGGGGTTAACTTCAGTGGGGGCCAGCCGCGGAGGTGTTTTCGTTCTTGTTTTCTTTTTGCTTGTAGCTTGTGATTGAGCAGGTAAGTTGGGACGGTCAGGAACCCTATCTTCGGACTGCACATGGCCCAGGATCCTCATGGAAAGGGTTCGGCAGTTCAGCTTCGTAGTTCAGCTTGGGCTCCTCATTGGAAGACCCTCCCACCAGCTTGAAATCCATGCAGCCAAAGGCCCGGATCGCTCCAAATTGGCAGAGGAGGTGCTGCAGGAAAGGGCAATGGTTGGCACTTGTCCGTGGTCAAGCTGCGTCCAACTTAAAGTGGTTGCATTTTGTTGAGTTTAACACACGCATACTGTTGGGGGGGTTCCCCTAACAGCCCTTTAGAGGGTAATTTTGAGGATGTCACTTTAATGGAATGATCCAGTCAAACACGCTTTTGCTCGGGGGTGGTAGGGACTGTCATGGATACCAGAGGAATTGAATTTAAGCCACAAGGATTGCTGTGAAGGGAACCATGAAAACTGGCTCACAACTGGAGTTTTGACAAAGGAAATTTCAACGAAGTAGGGGCGACGCGATTGAGGTTGGGGATTGGGGGGCGGGGTGAGTGTAGCGGGGTTGACGGTGTAGTGGGGATTGTCCCTGCCAGAGGTGGGAAGATAATGGTGGCTAGCAACGTACCCAACAAAAGGCCCTTCCCAAATGCGCACTCTCAATTTGCAGCCAGCTGACGCCTTCAAAGTGGCCAGGAGACGGAGTTTGAGCTGGTGCTCAATGGGAATCCTCGATCCCGGCGGCTTGCCAGCGTCTCAAAGCAGCGTTGGGCTCTTCATGCAATTTCAACCCCCTGTTAAGCGAATCTGAATATTCGTCTTGGCTGCTGGGTTGGATCTGTAACCTTTAACTTCTGGGGATCACATGTGTGTGTGTCTGTGTGTGTCCGTGTGTGTCCGTGTGTGTTGGTGTGTGTTCGTGTGTGTCCGTGTGTGTCCTTGTGTGTTGGTGTGTGTTCGTGTGTGTCTGTGTGTGTCCGTGTGTGTTCGTGTCTGTCCGTGTGTGTCCTTGTGTGTTGGTGTGTGTTGGTGTGTGTCCGTGTGTGTCCGTGTGTGTTCGCGTGTGTTCGTGTGTGTTCGTGTGTGTGTGTGTGTGTGTGTGTGTGTGTGTGTGTGTGTGTCCGTGTGTGTGTGTGGTGTTTGTGTCAGTGTGTGTGTGTGTCCGTGTGTGTGTGTGTGTGTGTGTGTGTGTGTGTGTGTGTTTGTGTCAGTGTGTGTTGGTGTGTGTTCGTGTGTGTCCGTGTGTATCCGTGTGTGTCCGTGTGTGTCCGTGTGTGTGTGTGTGTGTCCGTGTGTGTGTGTGTGTGTCCGTGTGTGTCCGTGTGTGTCCGTGTGTGTAAGTGTGTGTGTGTGTGTGTGTGTCCGCGTGTGTGTCCGCGTGTGTGTGTGTGTGTGTGTGTGTGTGTGTCCGTGTGTGTGTGTGTGTGTGTCCGTGTGTGTGTGTGTGTGTGTGTGTGTGTTCGTGTGTGTTCGTGTGTGTTCGTTTGTGTTCGTGTGTGTTCGTTTGTGTTCGTGTGTGTGTGTGTGTCCGTGTGTGTCCGTGTGTGTTCGTGTGTGTTCGTGTGTGTTCGTTTGTGTTCATGTGTGTGTGTGTGTGTGTCCGTGTGTGTCCGTGTGTTTCCGTGTGTCCGTGTGTGTCCGTGTGTGTCCGTGTGTGTTTGTGTGTGTTCGCGTGTGTTCGTTTGTGTTCGTGTGTGTGTGTGTGTGTCCGTGTGTGTCCGTGCGTGTCCGTGTGTGTCCGTGTGTATGTGTGTGTGTGTGTGTGTGTCCGTGTGTGTCCGTGTGTGCGTGTCCCTGTGTGTGTCCGTGAGTGTCCGTGTGTGTGTCGGTGTGTGTCCGTGTGTGTCCGTGTGTGTCCGTGAGTGTCCGTGTGTGTCGGTGTGTGTCCGTGCGTGTGGTGTTTGTGTCCGTGTGTGTGTTCGCGTGTGTCCGTGTGTGTCCGTGTGTGTCCGTGTGTGTCCGTTTGTGTCCGTGTGTGTCCGTGTGTGTGTGTGTGTGTCCGTGTGTGTGTGTGTGTGTCTCCGTGTGTGTGTGTGTGTGTGTCCGTGTGTGTGTGTGTGTGTGTGTCTCCGTGTGTGTGTGTGTGTGTCCCTGTGTGTGTGTGTGTGTGTGTGTGCGTGTGTGTTCCTGTGTGTCCGTGTGTGTCCGTGTGTGTCCGTGAGTGTCCGTGTGTGTCGGTGTGTGTCCGTGTGTGTGTGTGTGTGTCCGTGTGTGTGGTGTTTGTGTCAGTGTGTGTGTGTGTGTGTCCGTGTGTGTGTTTGTGTGTCCGTGTGTGGTGGTGTGTGTTCGTGTGTGTCCGTGTGTGTCCGTGCGTGTCCGTGTGTGTCCGTGTGTGTGTGTGTGTGTGTCCTTTTGTTTGTGTGTGTGTGTGTCCGTGTGTGTAAGTGTGTGTGTGTGTGTGTGTGTGTCCGCGTGTGTGTGCGTGTGTGTGTGTGTGTGTGTGTGTGTGTTCGTGTGTGTCCGTGTGTGTCTGTTTGTGTTCGTTTGTCCGTGTGTGTGTGTCCGTGTGTGTCCCTGTCTGTGTGTCCCTGTCTGTGTGTCAACAATCCAATTGGCTCATGGGGACGGGTGGTGATGTCCATTGGTCGTGTTGGTGAGTGACATCCTCCCGCGCACGTCGAGCCTGACACGCGACCCCAATAGGTCAATAGGAAGATCTTTCAAGTACCCAAATGCAGTTTCTATGTTAGTGGGTTGGAGGGTTGAGCATTTTGGTCGGGGAAGCGAAGAACATTTCTTTCTTGCCCGCTGAAGATCAGGCAGCGACAACAGATCGCCATTGGTTGAAGCTGAATTTTTGCAGTCAACATAGGGCTGCAGGGGTTGGTACAGATTGCGGACCTTTTGATAGCTCTCTTAGTCTTGGAAAGGATCTTTCCCTATCTAAAATTGA